TTTCCCTGGCCAACTTGTTGATCTTGTTTTTCTATATAATGCACTGGAATGTAAGCTTCATGAGGGTTGGGATTTTGTCATGTTTTGTGTACTATAGAATCTTTAGCACCTAGAAATAGTGCCTGGCACATAGTGGATGCTTCACACATTTATAAATGAATGAATGAATGATTTTGATTTTCATACTATCTCCTAAAAAAGAAAATAATTAGCTAACATAGCTCCATGAACTGTAAAGTTATGTTGAAAGAAAGAAGGATGGAAGTATTGAAAGAAGTCTGGATAGAAAGTAAGAAGGATCGGAAAAGTAATTCTAAATTTCTGAAATATAAAGCATCCTATAAATGGGTAAATGTACCACTTTACTTGAAAAATTAATATTTTTCCATGGAGACATCAAAAATTAGCTACCACCATCAGTAGGAAACATTTGAATGTGTTGCTGCCTTGTGAACCAGGAGGTGAATTCTATTCTGAACTAACTAAGACCTGTGGAAAATATTTCAGGTATCACTGAATAGTTGTGTAATTTAAGAACAATACCAATACATTTCGGTTTGCCAGGAACAGTCTCAGTTTAACTCTTTGTTAATTATTAATAGAGTGGGTTTTTATTCTTTAAAGGATCCCAGTTTGGATGATAAGTTATAAGGGCATCCTAAAGTTCAAGTGCTTGATTGCTTCTGGCTAGTGATTGTAGCATGTATTGACATTCATGCATGATAAGAAATCTGTAAATGCTATTTGACATTGATTATCTTTTAGAATTTGACTTTGTTAGGTTTAGGGCTATCAGGATCTCAGGTATTTTGAGTCAGCCTTGAGTAATGAAAATGTTGAGCAATATAAGCTGAATCATGTTTTTATAGGATAGTTAGATTTTTAGGGCCACAGAAATAGTTATCTAGGTACCATATTGAAATTATGTCAAAATCTGCAAAAAGACTTTCCAAATGCTTAACTAATAGAAAACAATCTTCACAGCAGGGAAATATGGCTTATTATTAAATATCTAGCTGAGATGTATCTATGTATATATGATACATATATATTAGATTTTACTGATTTTATTGATTGCCAGTAAACAGCAAGCTAATAGAAATTTGATGTTTCTATCAGGAACAGTTAACTTTTATTAAAATAATCTTATCTTAAATATTTTCTTCTTTTCAAGGTATCATAGACGTCGTAGAAAACTGGATCCTCCAAAAGACAGATGATATTGAGATTTTTGGGAATCAAAGAGAAGTGTTACCCTGTATCTCATTTGTCGTTTGAGAAAATGCAATTGGGTATATCCATTAATATGTTATATAGTAAAATAATAATAAAATGCCTTCATATATTAGAATGTTTATTTCTTTATATATATTAAGTAATTCTGGATTTGACATTGTTATCTACAGTAGCCTATTTCATCTTATTTTCCTTTTGAGTTATTTGTCTAGTATCATTAAATATTTTTACATTATCAGCTTAATATTGTTAGTAGTATAAATATGATTAATAAAAATGTACATGGTACTCCTGAAGGAAATTTTTAAATTGCCTTTGAAAAGAAGCTCATGAGGTCCATACAGAAAATAGATGTTATAATGTTTCCTTTTTTGTGGCTCTAGGAAATAATTAAAGTAGTTATATTTAAATGTGTCTACTATCTGCTAGGTCCTTTGTATTCGTTATTATTGAATTCTCACAATAATCCTTTGAAGAAAGAGCATCATCCCCATTTTACAGGTAAGGCTGAGTGGCTTGAACGCTTCCCTACCTACCAAGTGGGAGAGCCGGGATCCAAACTGCCAGGCTCCAAAGCTTTCTTATAGTGTGTCAGTAACTATGACAAGGGGTGTTTTCTTTCACCCAAGAATGTGCTTTCCTAGAGAAATATTATAAACTTCATTTTGAGATTTTTTTTTCTAGCTCTCTTAAAAATTATGGTAGCTTCAGAACACATGAAACTCTGTGATTAAAATGTTAATATTACGAAACTAGTGTTACAGGAATGCTAATAGTCTGTTCTGTTGATTATCACTTCCAGCTTATATATGATCCTTAATAGCATTGCTGCCCTGTGATTTCTTTTAGGAGGTGAGGAATCTTTTAAGGTAGAAAGGTACTTTATTCAAACTTGTAAAATATTTGTGATATTTTAAAATTTGATATGAAAAATGATTTCACATTCAAAGTCTTGCTTAGTCTAGTTCTTTTAATAAAGGAACTGTAGCTGAAGGTTCAAGTGTTCAGTAAAATGTAAGGAATAGAATAGGAAAGAGTAAAGGAAATAATTAACAATGACCACTCTCTATTACCTAAAGGAAATGTTTTCAAGTGGTTTATACCTTTTTCATTAATATATTATTAATTTGGGGGGAAAGAACAAAGAAAATACAAGTTGATAAAACTTGATAATCAGAAATATTTACCAGCTATGGTGACATATCTTTGAAAATGGTTAGGTTTTTTATGTTGATTTGTATGCAAAGTTTTACAAAGATGGAGATATGCCGTGTTACAAAAGTAGGAACAATAAAAACTTAATTTATTAAATAAGAAATTTTCTTTTAAGTACAAAGATCTACTAACTAGAGATTGTTCACTACTAAATAGAGATTGTTCAGTCGTAAGATGCCCATACCATGCATTCACATGTCAGTGCTTTGGAGAATTAACTTAGTTTTTATTGTATTGGAAATATATACATTGTAGTTAACACTGTAGTTCCTGGAAATTTAGTTTTCATGGGTTGCTGTTATTTAATTTTGCTAAATAAGTATGTATTTCATCACCTCTATCACCTCCCCTCTGCTTCTGCCATTCCCCACCCCACAGGAGTAACCTATTACCCACCATCACTAACATTTTGTGAAATGTTTTCTTTTCTAGAAATTTAAAAAGTATATAAGGTCTGATAGTCCTTTAACTGGAATAAATTTAGTTTCATGAAAATCTTACTACTCAGTCCTTATTCTCATATTTCCTTCCATTGATAAAGTGTATTATTAACACACCTCAAATTGATTAAAAAAAATTGTCAGTGAAACACTAGAGGGCACTCTCATATAGGGTTCAGTTGGAACTTCCCTCACCCAAAGGTAGTGGCTTCTAACATGCTTAGTTTGGCAGACAGTATTTGAATGTTCTTTAGGTAAGAATGACTAATAGAGTAAATGACAATAGTAAAATTAAATGAGACCAGTATTTATTTTTTGATGTAGTCATTAAGCATTTATTGAACCCTTACCTCACATGAAGAGGCATTGTACTTTTTGCTAGGCCAATAAGGAAAAATGGGTCCCTTCTAAGGAGCGTAATATCTACTTAACTAGTATCTGCTGAGCTATTTAATTTTTCTAATCACATTGTTTTTTAACCATGAATGTAATGCATCATTTTTTTAAAAATTAGAGACTAAATAAATAGGAAATAAAATTACCCCTAATTATCCCATGTAAAGATAACACTAACATTTCTGCTATGCTTTTTCCCTGTTATTTTGCTACATAAATGTATTTCAAAAATAAAAATAGTATTTATTATGCATGTAGTTTTATAATTTTTTTCACTTAATGTTATGAGTGTTTTTCCGTATAGTAAATGCTCTCATTTAATGGATGCATATTACTATATAATCTGGATTGTCATAATTTAGTTAATTCTCTACTATTAGACATAATCTTTATTTCTTTTCCCAATTAGAAAGAATGCTGTTACTAACATCCTGGTGGATACTTTTTCTTTTTTTAGAAAACTATTTTTTAGAGTAGTTCAGGTTTACAGCAAAATTGAATGGAAGATACGGATATTTCCCATGTTCTTATGACCCTACACATGCATAGCCTCCCCCATTATCAAAATCTCCCACCAGAGTGATAGATTTGTTACAGTGATGTTCCTACATTGACCTATTATCACCCAGAGTCCATAGTTTACCTCAGAGTTCACTCTTGGTATTGTGCATTCTAACAAATGTAGAATGACATGTATTCTGTATGGCATGATACTGTAGAATTACAGTATCATACAGAGTAGTTTCACTGCCCTAAAAATAGTGCTATGCCTTTTCATTCCCTTTTTCCTCCCTAAGCCCTAGCAACCACTGATCTTTTACTTGTCTCCATAGTTTTGCCTTTTCTATAGTTATATATTAGAATCGTACAGGATGTAGTCTTTTCAGATTGACTTCTTTCACTTAGTAATGTGCATCTGTTTTCTCCATGTCTTCACAGCTTGATAGCTCATTTCTTTTTAGTGCTGAATGATAATTTTATAGATGTACCTGTTTATTTATAAGATTATCTACTGAAGGTCACCTTGGGTGCTTCTAAATTTGGCAGTTATGAACAAAGCTACTGTAAACATCTGCTTGCAGGCTTTTGTGTGGACATAAGTTTTCAACTTTTTTGAGTAAGTAACAAGGGCATGACTGTTGGATCATATGTAAGAGTATGTTTAGATTCATAAGAAACTGCCAGACTCTGAAAGTGGTTGGACCATTTTGTATTCCCATGAACAGTGAATTAGAGTTCCTGTTGCTCCACATCTTTATCAGCATTTAGTGTTGTCAGTATTTTGAATCTTGGCCATTCTTGGTGTGTAGTTGTATGTCATTGTTTTAATTTGCATTTCTCTGATAACATAATAAGATGCAGAGCATCTTTTCATCTGCTTGTTTGCCATTTGTATATCATTTGGAAAGGTGTCAGTTAAAATCTTTGACCCATTTTTTTTAAATTGCTTTATTGAGTTAGAATCCACATCCCATACAATTCACCCATTTTAAGTATACAATTCAGTGGTTTTTAGTATATTTACAGAGTTGTGCAGCCATCACAACAGTCAATATTAGAACATTTTTGGCCCATTTTTAAAATTGGGTTGTTTGTTTTCTTGTTGTTGAGTTTTAAGAGTTCTTTTTGTATATTTTGGATAATAGTCCTTTATCAGATATGTCTTTTGGAAATATTTTCTCCCAGTCTATGGCCTTTCTTTTCATTCTCTTGACAGTGTCCTTTCACAGAGTATAAATTTTTAATTTAAATAAAGTCTAGCTTATCAGTTTCTTTTTTTATGGATCGTGCCTTTGGTATTGTATCTAAAAAATCATTACCAAACCCAATATCATTTATTTTTCTCCTATGTTATCTTCTGAAAGTTTTATAGTTTTACATTTTACATTTAGGTCTGTGATCCATTTTGAGTTAATTTTTGTGAAAGATCTGTTTCTAGTTCATTTTTTTGCATATGGATGTCTGGTTTTTCCAGCACTATTTCTTAAAAAGACTGTCTTTGCTCCTTTATGTTGCCATTACTCCTTTGTGAAAGATTGACTCTATTTATGTGAGCCTGTTTCTGCGCTCTCTGTTCCATTTATCTACTTGTCTGTTCACTCACCAATACCACATTGTCTTGATGACTATATTTTATGTAGTAAGCCTTGAAGGCTGGTGGTGTCAGTCCTCTGACATCTTCATTACTGATGGATTATATTGATTTTTGAATGCTGAACCAGCTTTACATACCTGGGATAAATCCCACTTGTTGACGGTACATAATTCTTTTTAGACTTTCTTGAATTTGATTTGCTAATATTTTGGTGAGAATTTTTGCATCTGTGTTCATTTTAGATATCGGCCTGTAGTTTTCTCTTATTGTAATACTTTTGTCTGGTTTTGATATTAGGGTAATGCTGACCTCATAGAATGAGTTAGGAAATATTCCATCTGCTCTGTCCACTGAAGGGGATTGTAGAGAATTGGTATTATTTCTTAACTGCTTGGTACAATTCACCAGTGAATCATGTAGGCCTGGTGCTTTATGTTTTGGAAGGTTATTAATAATGGATGCAATTTCTTTAATAAATATAGACATATTCAAATAGTCTGTTTCTTCTTGTGAGAGTTTTCCTAGATTGTCTTTCAAAGAATTGGTCCATTTCATCTAAGTCATCAAATTTGTGGGTATAGAGTTGTTCATATTTTTTCATTATCCTTCTAATGTATATGGGATCTGTAGTGATGTCCCTTGTTTCATGTCTAATATTAAGAGTTTGTGTCTTCTCCCTTTTCTTTTTAGTTAGCTTAGCTAATGGCTTTGATTTGTAGTGATCTTTACAGAGAACCAGTTTTTGGTTTTATTGATTTTTTTTCCTACTGATTTCCTGTTTTCGACTTTACTGATTCCTTCTCTAATTCTTATTATTTCTTTTCTTCTGCTAACTTTGGATGTAATTTGCTCTTTTCTAGTTTCCTAAAATAGAAGCTTAGGTGGTTGATTTTAGATCTTTCTTTTTTTCTAATATATTCAATGCTAATTTTTCCCTTTAAGCACTTCTTTTACTGTATCCCACAAATATTAATAAGTTGTGTTTTCATTTTCATTTAGTTCAAAATATTATTTATTTCTCTTGATACGTCTTCTTTGAACCATGTATTATTTAGCAGTATATTGCTGAATTTCCATGTATTTGAGGATTTTCCAGCTGTCTGTCTGCTACTGATTTCTAGTTTAATTTCATTGTGGTCTGAGAGCAGACGAATGATTTCTGTTAAGTTCAGTAAAGTTTATTTATGGTCCAGAATGTCGTCTGTCTTAGTGAACGTTCCAGGCGAGCTTGAGAAGAATATATATTCTGCTGTTGTTGGGTGAAATAGTCTATAGATGTTCATTATATCCAGTTGCTTGATAGTGTTGTTGAATTCAACTATGTCCTGACTGATTGCCTGCCTGCTGGATCTGCCCATTTCTGACAGAGTGTGTATTAAAGTCTCCAATTATAATAGTGGATTTATCTATTTCTCCTTGTAGTTCTATCAGTTTTTGCCTCACATATTTTGACAGTCTTTTGTTAGGTTCATACATGTTAAGGATTCTTAAGTCTTCTTGGGGAATTGCCTCTTTTATCATTATATAATGCCCCTCTTTTCCCTGATAACTTTACTTGCTCAGAAGTCAGCTCTATCTGAAATTAAACAGCTATTCTTGCTTTCTTTTGAATAGTGTTAGTGTGGCATATCTTTCTCTACCCCTTTATTTTTAATCGAGATGTGTCTTTATATTAAAAGTGGGTTTCTTGCAGACAGCATATGGTTGGGTGTTATTTTTTGATCCAGTCTGACAATCTCTTTTTTTTTATTGGTACATTTAGACCATTGACATTCAGAGTGATTACTGACATAGTTGAATTACTATCTACCGTATTTGTTACTTTTTTCTATTTGTTGTCCTTGTTCTTTGTTTTTGTTTTTGTCTTCCACTTTTTTTGCCTTTTGTGGTTTTTAATTAATTTTATATGATTGTGTTTTCTCTTCTTTCTTAGTGTGTTTGTTATATTTCTTCTTTTTAAGAAATCTTTTTTAGTGGTTGTCCTAAAGTTTGCAGGACACATTTGCAATTAGCCAAGTCCACTTTCAAATAACCCTATACTGCTTCATGGGTAGTGCAAGAACCTTATAATAGCAAACTAATCCTATGACTCCTTCCTATCTCTTATGTCATTGCTGTCATTCATTTCTCATATATAAGCATATATACACATAATCAAATACATTGTTGCTATTATTTTTTGAACAATCAGTGAAGAATAAGAAAAAAGTTTTTACCTTCACTTATTCCTTCTCCACTGCTCTTCCATTATTTATGTAGATCTGTGTTTCTGACCTATATCATTTTCCTTCTCTGTAAAGAACTTCTTTTAACATTTTTCACAAGGCAGATCTACTGGCAACAAATTCCTTCAATTTTTGTTTGAGAAAGTCTTTATTTGTTTATTTATTTATCCTTTACTTTTGAAGGATAATTTTGCAGGGTACAGAATTCTAGGTTAGTGGGCTTTTTTTATTTCAACATTTAGATATTTCACTCCATTCTCTTCTTACTTGTATGGTATCTAAAGAGAGGTCAGATGTAATCCTTTTTTCCACTAGACTTGATGAAAGTTTTTAATAAGAAATTAGTG